CCCCCGGCCTCCCAATGGCACTGATTCTCACAAATCTCCATCGCGCCAATTATAGGAGTCGGAAGCGAGGAATTCTCTCGAAAACGCCCCACCCCCTCTGCGTCTTTAACCCCCCTCGACTTGCGCCTGCGGCTGTCGCCGGAGACTTGGCGGGAACTGTCGCTGACCCTCATAAAAGATGGAAAGGGCGGGGGTGGGGTGGGGGTGGGGAAGCTCACTGAGAACTCGAGCGACACGTCTTATACCCAGTGCTGCCTGCTGCGCGTGTGCTCCATACAGACGTCCCGCACTTTCTTGGAACAGCTCCCACGCTCCACCCCTTGTCTTGTCAAGTTTGACAAAAATAAACAAGTTTGACAAAAATAAATAAATGATCCTCTCCTTTGAGCAAAGTGTCGAGGTGTCGAGGTCGTCCGAGCGAGAGACGTGATTGTACGTATATCTTTCTCATTACCGAAAACTGAATCCGACAATAGACTACAAAGTATTGAGCAAACTGAAGTCGAGACAAGTCATCTAATGAACAAGGAGAGGGGAGGGGGGGGGTTCTTTCGAAAGAGCGGATTGAACGGTGGTCAGGCCAGACCCCCACGCACCCAAGCGAACACGGATGTTTGCCAACACTACTCCCCCTTTCCACCCCTTCGCCCAACTGGCAGGCCCAACAACCACAAGGAAGTAAGGTGGATGACCAGACAAGCAATACGTGTTATGGACCGCCTACGACCCCGCTTCCCACAGGGCATGCAAACGTTGTCGGTGTCCGCACAGCTCGTAAACGGCTCGCGTAAACAAATAATGGGCAGGAGAACTTAAATTTATAAACAATAAATGTGTACGTCCGTCATTTGCGGTTGCGAATAAATTGCCGAGTTCAGCCAATGCAAGCTATCATATAGCGCCTGGCAGGTAGGCAACATCTTGCCTGTAGTGCATGCGTGCACTGCGGGATGGCCTACCCCGAGTCTCGCAGGCGCCCCGAGCTCCCGTCACACACCCCTCGTAGCCGGAGCAGGGCAGGGCAGGGGGAGGAAGGGCAGGGCAGGGCGGGGCAGGGGGCAGGGCAAGGCAGGGCAGAGGGCAGGGCGGGGCAGCCGTCCAATTCAGGAGAGCGTTTAAGAGGGGCTCTCCTATACCTGCCCCATGAGTGCACCAAGGACGGAGCTATGTGGGAGGTATAGGAGAGTCCCTCTTAAACGCTATTCTGAATCAGACGACAGGGCGGGGCGGGGCAGGCCAGGGGGCAGGCCAGGGGGCAGGCCAGGGGGCAGGCCAGGGGGCAGGCCAGGGGGCAGGCCAGGGCGGCGCGGAGCGTGTAACTCGGCCGTGCCGATGATGGCCCGCCTCGCGGCGCCCAGTGAGACCCTCGCGCTCAGTGGAGCGGAGCGGGGCGGGGCGGGGCCGAGCGCGGAGCGGTCTCGTCTCTGGTGCTGCGGTCGCCCGCTGCGACGGGGTGACCATTGTGGCGCGGGTCCGCCCTTTACCCGCCCGCCCGTCGTCTCAGAACCCTGCTCTGTACCGAGCGCACATTCTGCTCCTTCACCACTGGTTACTTTTGTACCGGGTACCCGGGAGAATACGCGGAAGCCGGCGGCAGCTCGATGGGTTGTTGCCAACGCACTGGGGTTGCAGGCGCGGAGGGCGAGTGGGGAGCGGAGCGGAGGAGGTGGAGAGAGGCCACCGACCGCCTCCCGCCACCTCCTCCACTTCCCCCTCGCCCTCCGTGCCAGGCACGCCAGTGCGTTGTAGGCAACAACCCATCGAGCTGCTGCGTATTCTCCCGGACACCAGCGGTACTCGGTATTAAACTAGTGAATAACGGCCTTATTGCATGCCCAACCCAGACCATAGCCGTAGCCCCCCTCCCCCCGCTCCCCCCCGTCCCCATGTTCTCTCGTGCGGCCGCGTACTCGCACACCTGCTCACCGGCTCAAACTTTCTCATCCCGGACACAAAGCAGTCTCAGGCCGTCCGGGGCGGACGAGCTGCCGGACTAGGGTGATTAGGATGAATAAGCGGTATCGCGCGCCCACCGACTCGCGCACCGCGGCGACAAAGACGGTTTGTGGAAGTTGTCGTGCGCGCGACTTTGTACGGCGAGGACTGGGAGGGGCGGCCGGGGGCGGCGCATCTGGGGCGGAGCGCGGAGGAGGAGGAGCAGCGCGGCGCGGCCGCCCCCGGAGAGGAAGCTGGGAGCCATTAATCTCAATCGTCGTTGCACCGGCCTCCACCCGGCGGAAGGTTTACGTAAAACGGGCGGGAGAGAAAAAAAACAACACACAAACAAGCAACGTTAACGCCATAACGTGAAAGCAAATGACTTAATGCGTATGTGCGGCGTCGAGCTTTTTTTTCTTTTGCTCTCAAACCCTCACGCCAGACTCCAAACCATATAATTCGCGGAGCGAGCGAACGAGCTGTCGAGCTTGCGAGACAGCGA